GGAAGATATGGAAGCAGTGACAGATTTTACTTTCTTGGACTCCACGATCACTGCAGATGGGGACAGCAGCCACGAAATTAAAAGACACCTGCTTCTTGGGAAGAAAGCAGTGACAAACCTAGACAGCATCTTAAAAAGCAGAGACATCACCTTGCCGACAAAGGTCCACATACTCAAAGCTATGGTTTTTCCAGTAGCGATGTATGGAAATGGGAGCTGAAACATAAAAAAGGCTGACCACCAAAGAATTGATGCTTTTGAATAGTGGTGCTTGAGGCTCTTGAGAGTCCCCTGGACTGCAAGGAGATCAAACCTATCCATTTTGTAGGAAATCAACCCTGAGTGCTCACTGGAAGGACAGATCCTGAAGCTGAGGCTCCAGTACTTTGGCCATCTCATGAGAAGAGAAGTCTCCCTGGGAAAGACCCTGATGTTGGCAAAGCGTGAAAGCAAGAGAAGGGGACGACAGAGGACGAGATGGTTGGACAGTGTCACTGAAGTGACCAATATGAATTTGACCAAACTCTGGGAGGCAGTGGAAGACAGGAGGGCTTGGCGTGCTCTGGTCCATGGGGTCACGAAGAGTCGGACATGACTTAATAACTAAACAACAATAAATCATTCTGTAGAGAGGCACTCTACTATACAGAAGTCCACAGAGGACTGGACTAGGGCTAAGGAGACCTGGGTTCAAATCCCTGTTCAGTCATGTAATCTTGCTAGGGGTGAGGTGGTAATGTTACACCATTCTGCCACTCTTGAGATATGTGAATATCTTCCATACCTTTTAAAAAAAAGGCGTAATTTTACAATCACCAGATTTGGCATCAATTGTACATAACAAACCACCACACCATCACTTGTTATAAACAGCAGCATGAAGTAAATTCCTCTCTACATATGACACACATTGAAAAGTGCAGCTGATTTGTCTATTATAACAGAGAAAGGGAGCTGGGGAACTAAATGACCTTGACTCCCTGAACAAACGAAAGACAGAAAGAACAAACTCTGTCACAATGAATTTTAAAAATGAACGTATTACTGGAACACCTTATTGACTTACCTAAGCATCATGTGGTGTGGTTTATGTCACAGTAATGAAAGATGCTACTAATCACATACTGTACTTTGGAAAGCAGCACAATACTTGTGACAAATTAGGTCAGATAAGCAAACAGCAGTGCAACAAAAAGAATGCTCCTTCATCAGAGAGAAGGCCATACACATCAAAATTCTTAAAAGTATCCTGTGTATGTAATAGGACTCAGAAGTGTGTGTGTGGGGGGGGGTCACCTTGTGTATACATGCCATAACATATTGAGATTCCAATAGAATAATATTCCTGTACAAAGGATGACAGGAAATAAAGATTCAGAGTCACCTTAAATACACCCGATTTAAAACATAAGCTGCAACCCCAAGTTGTATTCAAGAAATCATCTTTTTGGCTTTTCAGAATTTGGGAAAAGGAAAGGGAAGAGTGACAGTATCCATATTCCTGAAGTTAGTACATATACAAAGTAGGATTAGGGTATATTTTTCAAGCCATGAGCCTCATTCATTGAGAGGTGAGCTAATCTTTCTAGTGATCTAGATCTAGGCGGGGGTTCTACCCTCACTCTTTCCCTAATGTTGAGCTCAAAGGGTGGGCTTAGTCAAAAAGTGGCAGGTCTGACAGTTGAGGAGGCCTTTTGGTGCACATCCCAGAAGCTCCCTACCCCTATTATTATATTAAGTAAGGTAAAAAAATATTTGCTAGAAGGTGAAAGTGAAACAGGATTTCTCTGTCTATTAGCAGAACCCTATCATATAAGGGAAATATCATAAATCATATAAGGAACAGACAAGGCAGATATAAGTATATTATTAAGTAAGGTCACACACACACACACACACACACGCACGCACACAATGGGTCGTACAGAGTTTATAGGACACACAATACAGTTGTGATTCTAAATGAGTGTGCTGACAGGACCTGTGGGTGTAGTGCCTGCAAGAGGAGTATGGGAAGAAGAAAAGACAAAACCATGAAACTATGGAATGGTCTACTTCCAGGCTACCCAAAGGACAATGAGCTTCTCCAGATCATGGGATTTTCAGGGAAAATCTTTCTCCCGGTTCTGCCACCCTCCCAAGCACATTCTGTGAAAACAAAAGAAAAGCCCAGCCTGTAGAATTTTAGAGGGTGGTTAGTCCAGTCTCCTCTTTGCTCTCCTTCCACTAGCAGTCAAAGAACTTTTTATTTATACTCAGTAGTCTTTGAGTGGCTGCAGAGGAAAGGCTTTTTAATGCTGAATGTGCACTTCCTCCCACCCCTTACCGTACTCTGCTGCTGTTGCTGATATTATGTGCCATATCGACTTTGACCCATGGTGACCCTATGAAGGTGATCTCCAAAATGTCCTGTCCTCAACAGCCTTACTCTGATCTTGAAAACTCATGCCTGTGGCTTCCTTTACGAAGGCAATCTATTTCATATTTGGTCTTCCTCTTTTCCTGCTGCCTTTAACCTTTCCCAGCATTTTTTCCAGATTATACTTTATATTTTTAAAAAACTGTTTTATTTCAGTACTTATTTTAAGTAATAACTTATTTAATCATGCTGTAACATTATATCGAATTGGCCAGAATCTTTTTAGTAACTTACATCTGCTAAGAAAAATTAAGTTAAATTACAGGAGAAAAATGCCAGCATTAACAAGTGCTGGTTGAGTTTCTGGGTGCACACCCCATAGATCATAACCAGCACCTTGTTGATGAGTACCAATATGCCACCAAGATGTACTGATTTCCTGTACAAAAGAATAAATTACAAATAGCATTCTGACCAGTGTTTTTAGCTCAATCTTTTTTATTCTTTGGTGTGAGTCACCTTTGGTACTAGGATGTAGGCAAGATGTTAATGAAGGAAATAAATAATATCAGATACCATAAATTTGAAAACTGTGTTTCCAGGCCCTTAACATTCATCCCACCCACACATTAGGAAACATGAGCTTAAATGTAGACGTAAGGATCATAAACTTATAATTATTCAGAGCAACAAGCATGCTGTCTCCAATACGATGTACAGCAAACTTCAATGAATTTCAAATTTTCAAGCAAACACACATTCTTCAGAGTTCATAAATACGTAATGTGAAAGTGATCTGTATTAACTCTTCCAAGTACAGTATGTACTCTCCTCAAGAAGCACCTTGGTCAATCATGGCCCTTCCAGTTCAGCATTATTTGTGACTCTTCAAGCACCAGGAATAAAGGTTTATCTCTTGTCCATCTTATATATTGCAGATAATGAAGCAACAGCTTACAGGGAACCTCAAAAGTCCAGGGGAGAGGCGGGAGTAAGAATGAAAGAATACATATTTACATGTGTAAATGCATACATGCAGTGGTAAGTTCCTGTACTGTATTTATGGCTGAGAAAGTCTGGAAAAAGTCAAGAAGGGCTACGTGGCAGCCTTAAAGATAAGAACAAATCTGAAAACAAACGTAATTAGCAGATAAGTTCCCCGTTTTCCTCCGTGGCAAGTTTCTACTACGGACTGAAGCCTATTTGGACAATACTCGTTGAATTGAAGGGCTCGTCCCAAATCCTTGAGGAAAGAAGGTGCGCTGCGGACCCTCCAAGGCGAGACGACGGCACTCTACACATGCTCAGAGACGCCCTTTGCCTTTCTTTAACATCCTACAGCACTAAGCTTTGCGATCGCAAACCATTTCCAGGACTGAACCCGGGTTGAAATACAGCCTCCTTCCCTTCCTCTGCGGCTCTGCCCATCGGTACTTACTGCCCGTGTGGACCCAGAAAGGCACCGATCCGTCCCCCTGCACCAAGTGCGGTCCCTTGAAACTGTATTTATACTCGAACCGCCGGTGGGGCGCCGTAGGAGTGGCGGTGCCACCTTCCGCCTGGCCGGTGGCGTCTGTGGTGGGGAGAAAGCGGCTGCCCAGGCAAAGCAGCGCGGCTAAGAGCAGCCTTTCCCCGGCACTCGTTGAGCCTCCCTTCTGCACCCAGAGCGGCGCCATCTTGCTCTCCGCTTCACGCAACCCGGCTCGGCCAACAGGGCGCTCGCGGATTGGCTGAGAAGCCACGGGGCGGGGCCTGAGCACGGCCAAAGGGCAAAGAGCGCGAAATCTCTCTGCCGGGGGCGGAGCTTCGTTCTCCCCGCCTCTCCGTCACCACCGTTACTCCTCCTCCTGTAAAATGGGAGAAGGACGGAACGCTTAATTTCGAGAATAGTTCCGCTCACCTCACTATTAAATAGCAGTTAGCTTTCTACTTTTTGTCAGAGTGGGATTCCCGGTGTGGGTGGCGAGTGGGTAAAAAAAAAAAAGAGCAAACTTGAAAGAAGGGTGAGATTTTCTTGGGAGGGAGGGCAGGGAAAGTAAAAAAAGCTCAGTGCAGCAGGAAGAAAGGAAGATCAAACATGAGATGGATTAATCCATAGAGAAAGCCACAAGTTTGAGTTTACAAGAGCTAAATAGGGCTGTTGAGAACAGGACATTTTAGAGGTCATAGGGCTGGTATATATTGTAAGTACTGTAACTTGATGCTTGACATCATTTTCTAGCTATTTCCCTGGAGCAGCAACAAAGGAAGCCTCCTGACCTCTTTACAGCAAGAGAAATTCACAGGAATCCTACAAACTCCAAGGAAGCCACCCAGAAATATTCCATGGCTCTCCTACCAAACCTGTGGTCAAAGGCAAAAAGACCTTTCTTCACTTTCTGATCCTATAGAAGTCTGCCATCTTCCTGTTTTTTTTTGGAATTTCAGGTGCTATCTGACTGTAGAAAGGGGTTAAGGATATAATCATGTTTAAAGTCTGTTAACTAATATGCACTTGAAGGCTGGATTCCAACACCAGGAAAGGTGTGGCACCTGGAATTTAACAGAAACTTTTCAAATCATAGATACAGTATCCTGGTATCAGCCTGTCAGTGGTGTTGGGGACATATTGTCCATCCAGAAGATTTCCTTCCCTCTCCTCTCCACTCAGTTCAGTTCCCCCCTCCGGGACATCTCATGGCCAGGTGATTGCTCTGGGCAGCTTACAATGGGAGCATCAGCAGTATAAGCTAAAATTCAATAATAATGGCAATTAAGATGTTAAGGGGAAAAATAACAACCCAAAACTCCAACTTAAATATCTAATAAAATCTATGCGAAGATACAAGATGCCGGCAAACAACTTACCAAATTTGATAAACTAGAGAGACAACACAAAAAATTAAACAGAGCCAAGAGTATGAAAAGCCATATGCACATGAAGAGACAGGAGTCTCAACCTGCTTCACTTGCTCCATGAAGCAGCACAGTTTTCCCAAGAAGGACCCTATGAATTATCAGGTCCAGCCCCTATCAAGGAGGCACAGTGTGGAATCAAACTCCCATCCTTTGACAACACAACCAGATATCTAAAACACTGAGCTATCCAGAAGTTCATCTATCAGAAAAGGGTATTGCCTAACTGGTGTCAGAGAACTGGATCTAAGATGTTCTTCATGCAAAGGTAGGTGTTTGTGTGTATAACAGACACGGTCTACCAGACCCATTCCAAATGGTGATTTTAAGTTAACTAAGGGGTTCTGACCTTCATGTTGTACCAAGAAACACCTGACAATGTGATAAGATATCTTCACCCCCAAGTTCTTCCCTCTCTGACTGCCACTGAAACTGTCCACGACATTTGTACCCCCACAGATGGCTGGCCAAGTAGATGTGGAAATCTGGACCTAGTTTTAAAAAATGCTCAATTAAAAATGTTATTCTATATGTTTCTATATAATCTTGTCTTTTGTAGGTAGAATTCTAAAGTCCTCTGCACACTGATGACATTAAATTAAAACAGCAAAATCATTTTAAACACATTAGCTAAATACCTTTATTTCTCAAATGGTACACAGGCATCCTCTTTAAAAATACCAAATACAAACATACCTAAAAAGCAGAAGGCCTTCTCCTGTGTGGCTCCCACAGCTGCAGCCTATTTCCACTCTATAACTGGTTTTAAGAAGGGAGTAAAAACACTTTTCAGAATGACGTATGATAGCTAACCAGTCCTGCTATGTTGTTTTCAGTCTGTATCTTTTGCTGATTTTCATTTCTTAAAAACATATTTGCTTAATATTAATGTGTTTTACAGTAGAGCTGCTTTATATGACTTTATTATTTTTAGCTAAATGTGATTTTATCTTTTATGCTTTTAAATGTTTGCATGGCACATTATGTGCTATTTATTTGGTGGAAAGACAGGGCATCAGTGTAATAAACAGTAAATAAATATAATAATAGTTAAAATATCTGGCTAGTGAGACTGACAGCATATACATGTCTGTGCATTGTATACATATATCTGATTAGCTATTCAGAAAGTCCCACACAGTGCAGCAAACAATTTATGCATAATCTACAACAAGGGTCCAGAGGTCAAATTTCCATTTTCAGAACCCACTGGGAACCATGCCAGTTACAAAAATGGGGGAAAGGATTAAAAAACTGAATGGTGGCAGACATGCATTTCCACTTTCATTTGAAATTTGTAACCTTTTTTTGTTGCAAAACCACTTCCCAGAGGCTTCTAAGAATAAAAAATGACTTTGCTGCAGATTTTTTTCAACAGGAGGATGTCCATGGGCTGTTAAAAAAAAATCTTTTTGGGGCTCTGTGCAACATCCCCAAGGCCACGCTTTGCCCACTTGGTTATGGAATGGGAACCTGACTGCTTATTTCGTTGGTTACCCTTTTGTGTCTGTGGCAGGTAGATAACTGTCAATACCTGTTAATTTACATTTGTGGAAATCTCTAAACATAGAGTGCTCTAGAGCAGCCAGTCTCAATGGGGGCGACCGTCCAGAGAAGTAAGAAACTTCCTATTATGAACCTGAAGGCCAGCCCTGACTGCTAGCTCTGATTCTATCAAATAAATCCCAGACTTTCTTTCAAGAATTGTTTTAATCCTGATCAAGTAGGTTTTAATCAAGGGTTGCCTTCTGTCAGATAACAAAAGAGAAGACCCCAAACTGTAATTTGACAGGCTGGAGAATGACACACCAAATGTTTTTTGAAACTATTCCCTGGGAAAATTTGTAAATGCTTCCTGTACATATTGAAGGCTATAAAGAGTGAAAAAGTAGGAAATAATGCGTGATATCAGATACCCTGAATCACTAACTTTCCTAGATAAGCAGGAGACTTGCAGACTGCGGGCGGCATACAAATCGAATGGATAAATAAATAAATAACAAAAGGATCTCTCTTTCTCTGGTTATGCCTGCTTTCTGTTAAAATGATGACTATTTTGCCTTGATTAATTTTGATGGTTTTATGCTAATAGAGAATATTTCCCATACCTCCGATGGCCTTTCATGTTGGGAAGCCAGTGTGGCATTGTGATTAGAGCAAACTGTGCCAACCTGACCCCCCCTCTGGATAGGTTTGTCTGCAAATTTCATCATTCTTAGTTTGGCTAGAGGTGATATAGCCCAACCTAGCCTGAGAGTAACAGGCTGGGCTACAGGGTGGATTAGGGTTCAAACTAGGACTGGGAAGATTGAGATTCAAGTCTCCACTCAGCCATGAAGCTCACTGGGTGCCCGTAGGCGAGTAACTGCCTCTCAGCTTAACCTATCTCACAGGGTTCATGTGAGGACAAAAATGGGAAGAGAGAAATCATGTATGCTGCCTTGAGCTCCATAGACAAAAGGCAGGATGTTGCTGCTGTCGGCCATCAAGTCATTTTTGACTTAGGGTAACCCCATTAGTTAATGACTTCCAAAACATCCTATCACTGACAGCCCTGCTCAGGTCTTGCCAATTCAATACCTTAATTGAATCAAGTAGGTCTGTAATAACAACATTGTGCCACAATGTATTTCTGCCTCTTTTTTTAGATATCTGATTTGTTTTTCCTCCCCTTGGTAGGTTTTACTCATAAACTTCTACGTGAAACAGATCTTAAAGAGACATTGTAAGGCCTCCTTCCCTTCCCAAAAGAAACAAAGCCCTATAGCTATACATTCCCCAGTGCACTCACTGACTCTCTCTAATAGATGTAATCTCTAAGACAAAGTTGTTCTTTAATGCAATAATAGTGCAGCAAACATTGCATCAGAAGCACTGGAGTTCCTGCAGGACAGATAGATTTTCTTTAGGGTACTGTGAAATTTGGTGCAATCCAGCCTGTTTAAAAGGTCTTTATCTTCAGTGTAGTCTATTTAAACTCTTGGTACCCACCTGTGAAGGCAAAAGAAAGAACCATTTTGCATCTCAGTCAATCATCCCCAAAATATTGTATTCCCTAGCCCTGTGTCAGAAAGATACAGACCAGCTCTTAAAGATGAAGGATGGATCATTTTATATAGAAGCACAAGCGGAAGAGGTATTTTATTTCACACCAAACAGTGCTACTAGGGAATCATATATCATAACTATATGCCAGTGTGGTCGGGTTTTGTGGCATGGTTTGGAACAACTGAGTAAACCCAATGAAATCAATCAACATACTGATTTCATTCGGTTCACCCACCAGTGAAAGCAATTTTTATTTATACCATTCATATTGAACGTCCGGAGTTCATTGCCTATGGAGTCACAAGTTTGTGTTGGCCAGTCACAGGGATCAGTTTCTTTTAATGAGCTGTGTCAATCTCTCAACTTCTTCACTCTCAGTTTAAGGCTGTAAAGAGGGTGGCCATGCCATGATACCTGTGTAACAAGCATTTCCCATCACTGCATTTCCATGGTAGGAGGAACGTTCAAGTATTATTGATTCTGGCTGCTGTACTTTGTAGAGCCTCTGTTCATTTTTTAAAAAGTACTGTATTTGGCAAGTCTACATTTTAAACCTTACAGATATTAATATTTTATCTGTTATATGATTTTAGATTACTAATTTCTCTCTTCATTGTAAAAAGAAATATTATTCAACACTAAACACTGATGAGGATGTCCTTAACTCTTAAATTTTAATATTGAAAACCGTCTGATTAGTTGTGGATGACTAATTTTTACTAACTGTTCAATGATAATATTTAACAGTAATGTATGAAATTGGACACTCCAAGTC